ACACCCCGTACACGTCCCGTCGATCTTTACCGGTGTTTATTCTTCGCTGTTCTAACAGATGTTCGAGAATATTGCGCAAAGTTACAGTGTACTTTTTACATGGAAAATTTCGATCGAAACTCGGGTGGTGTTCGTTCGGCGTCAGCGAAAAATGCGATAACCGATCAAGGAGCCTTACGGGACAGTTCGAGAGAATACGTTATCGGGGATAACCGAAATTGCCAACTATGACTCAGAAAATTTCAAATTTTTGCGTATCTTATCGTCTCCGAACTCGGAACAATGTAGAATCGTTTCGCGATGCGTTCAACGGCCAGGTCTATGTTCAGGATTTTCCATCACCCTCCTCGGTGGACTGTATCGATATCGTTATCCCTGCGACTCTACCTTTTTCGTTTCGCGTCGGAAAAAAGTTTACTCTTGCTTTCGTCACGGAAAGTGAACACCGAAGCGGAAGAATTTTTCGTACAACGAATAGGAGGGAGTGATTCGTGACTCATGGACGATACTCGGAATAGAATAGTAATTAGGCAAAAGGCATGCGTTAAATCGTAAATTCGAACGGAACAGAGACGCTAAAACGCGATTAATCATCCGAGTTGAACGTGACTAGAGGTACGAACCGCTACGGTAATCGGTGAGTAATAAATTCTGCCGAAATTCGTAAACGTTTGCCGATCTTTCGTAGAAACTCAAAACGGAAAGGAGATCGAATCAGAATCGCGAACGCGTTAAACGAGAAAAACCTAGTAACAGATCGGCAAGATAAATAACGCGCGTAAAGTATTTTCGCGGGTCGTAACGCGGAACACGTAGCGCGCATCGATCAGTGGCAGGCTCGTTCGAAGCAGGCGATATAGCGCTTGCCAAAAGCCGGGAGAAGGCTCCGTTACGCGCGTAACGCGGAGTTAACCATTAGCGTGCTTATTCCCTACGAGACAAGTCGAAAACGCTAGCGAGTCGTAAACTATAGAAAAATATCAATGATCCGCTCGAGCACGCTGCGAAATCGCAACGAAACCGAATCGAGTCACGATTTATCGTTTCACGGTTAACCGCCGTGCTACGAGGAAGAAATTTTCTTTCCGATCACGTTCGTTGTGTAGAGCTTACGTAATCGATAAAACCGTCCAAGATCGAGGCTTTCTTTCCGACCGTTCGTTACGTATCAACTTTTACGTCGAAAACAATAAAATCGAGGATCGACGCAACATTTCGAGTGCTAGCGGCATTCGAATAATCGACGAACGAACGAGAACGGATATCGATAATTACGATGAAAAATTCGCGTTATAGACGATCGAATTTACATATGTACCTTTATTCCGACGAGTTAAAGATAGCAGAGCAATTTGTTCTTTTTCCGCTGGTTAGGTCCGTTTCCGTGGATGATTCGACGCGCAAAACTCGAGAACGCGGGGATAACTTTGCTAGCTTACTGGCGGAAGGTACCGCAAAATAGCACGAATCCCGGCATCGTCAGCAACGGGGCAGAGTTTAACAAGGAAATTGTTAGACGGAGCGTGATTAACCCCGCCGTTGCGATAATAAACGAGCCACGAGCTTCGTAACTCATCGGTGGCCCCGGTCTCTTTCTTCTCCGCGATTAAGCTCGCGCGTCTTCTTTCTCGCCTCGTTCGACCTTTCGACTTCAACCGACGTTCGATCGATTCGATCATCGTTTCCTAATTCCTTACGAACTACTATCCTTCGTCCGAACGACAACGTTTCAAAATAATCTATTAACGGCACCAACGTACTCTGTTCGGTGGCTACGAGTAAACCGCGACAATTTTCTACAATTTTCTACAATTTTCTACAATGTTCACGCTTCTCGGTTACGAACTGGCCTCGTTTCTGACCCGCAACGTGAACACGTAGGCCCACGAGAGGCCAAGAAACGCTGTTATCGTTGACCCAGAGAACACGATACAGTTAAAAGAAGTACTTTTACTTTCAATTTTCAGACTTTAATTAACAACTCGGTTTATCTAACAAATACGCAACAGTTACGTATCTTCTTCGCATGTGATTCGTAACTAAGCGTTTTCGTTTCTTCTCGTTATTCGTGTTTCGCGTTTCGCGGACAAACATAGAGAAGTAAAGGAACGCTGTAATTTCGCGACAGCGACTAAAACGCGTGTATCGCTGGAGGGAACGAAACGAACGTGAGAGGAATTTCTTCGCGTAATTATCGCGCGTGTTTGTCTTCGAAAATGGCTAAAGATCGCGACAGAAACGATAGCCAGTGATTGCATCTAGGTTGAACCCAGTAGCATCGCCGAGAGCGCGAGATGATCGAATCGAATCGAATCGAATCGAATCGAAAGATCCAAAGTCCGAACGTGTTATAGCAGGCTGAAAGGGAAATACGACGAAGCCATATCTCTCGTCGAAAAACTTCTCCCAACGGACAAAAACGATAACCTGTAATCACTCTCGGACAAACATTCGCCTACGTTTTCGAGGATGCGCGAACGAATTTTAAATCTCAAAAAATTGTACGAGGGGACGAACAACTTTCGCCTCGAGCAATAATAATTTAATATCACGTTTTCCACTCGCTGAAAATTCTCGCGGACGTCGACAGAAAATGCTCGCAGAGTTTTTTCGACGCAACGAACGACGCGTCGCGCAGAAAATACTTTCGCGTAGCACACGGTACGCGAAAACTTTCTGCGGTTATTTCGTTTGGAATTATCAGATTCTATTCGATTAAGGCAACGAAACGAATGTGCGAAAACGCGAAGATCGATCACGGTGTCTGGTACGAGCATGTCGCGACAAATTATTATTAACGCGTTCGCTGTACGCCGGTAGAGATGGACATCCGCGGCAAGACGAGTCGTGCCACCCGGAACTATGTTTACTTTTATTAACGAATTTCCACTCTTTATTTCGATTAATTCGGCTGGATAATTCGAGACATTTTTATACTCGCGAGTGGTAAAGACGCGTTACGTCAACCGAATCTTTAATAACGAGATTTATCACGAAGCAAACTGTACGCGTATCGACTTTTACGTTACACGAAGCGTCGTCGCAGAGCCAAGTAACTCGATGATCGATGGCTCGCTCGCTGTAACCAGAAAATTCCACTTGCCTTCGAAATACGTAGATCCGGTAACTCTTTCAGACCCGCGTATTTCCAAAGCGGAGAACAAAGTCTCGCGGAAGATAAAAACACCTTTTTCGACGAATGTTCGAAATTGTTTTCCTCCTAAAGGAAACTATCCACGACGAACGAACGTTTTTTAGCCGATCGCTGTCGGTTAATTCGTTCGACGTTTGGTCGTGGAACGAAGGAAGATCTCGGGAAAAGAGTAGAAAAATTGTGGCACATTGTCAGTCAGGGCAGCCTGTCGTTTATCGATGCGTGCATTCCATCTCGGCAGATTAAAAGCGGTCTATCGCGTATTTAGGTCATCGCACACGCGGCCCCCATTGTTTTAACGTCGCCGCTAGTGAATTCGTTTCGGATTTTCCCTCTCTGCGCGTACGTTCGTTTTACCGTCGCCGGCCGAACCCCATAAATCGACAAACTCTCGCTAAATATTCTTACGATTTAATGATTTCGTTTATTTCGCGGTCAAAAACAGGTAGAGAGAAAATTTCATTGGGACCGAATCGGCTGGCTTCCGGTAACTTGATTTACCACGAAATTGACTTTTCTATAAAACAGCTTTCTATAAAGCAGTTTCGGATGCCACACTACGTTTTTTTTTCATATATTTTCCTTTTGTTTCCGGAAAATAATTCGATGAAAAACTAAATAAACACGATTGCGACTGGATTCTCGTTCTACGTTTGCCGTACAACATCGCGAATAAAGTTCTGGATAATAGAAACGTTATGTACCACGTATACGGCACAAATTATGCGCGTACTGCTCGTTTGCCTCTTCTGTCTACCACTCGTCGGGATTCGCTGCACGAAAGAATCTATTGAACTTCCAGGAATATAAGATGACAGATTGCGGAATTCTACTCGAGAACGGACAACAACGGTGCATGTAACAAAAGTTCAAAGTATGTTCTTACGATTAAAGGAGTCTACAATGGTATTAGAATAATGCTCGTAACGAGCGAGCCGACAAAACGGCACAGGCTAAATTAAATACCAATTCGACGAACGAAAATGCGTCTCGTCGAAACAAGTTCGATTGTACGATTTCTACGGAGCAAAAGAATACAATAGCGACGTTGAAACAATGATAGCATTGAAAACATGCCACGCGAGGCGACGTAACTCCGCGTTACCGATAAAAGAATATACGTAGAATAGAGAATGAATTATTTGTCCGGGCGAACTCGTTAACTTTCCTTCGACACGTGCTACGCGCATTTACGTTTCGTTTCGATTACGTTTCTTTCGTGCTTTTTAACGTCCGTTACGGCTACGTTTAACGGACCTTTGTTTCCGCTCGTAATATGGAAATCCAGATAAATTCCAGGTAAATATATCCGTTTGGTCGTTTCTTTTAATTGTACGCGATTCTAACCGCGTAACGATCCCGTTTAAATCTTAATTAATAGGCGATACGACAGAAATACGAGTAAGGTGAAAGGCAATGACGCAAAGGGCCTACGTATCGGACACGAATGCGTGATAGACCGGCTGTCAAATCGTTAATCGCAACGGCAACGCGACCTCGTGTCGGTACGGTATTCCTTTCTTTGCTGCTCGATTCGAAAGTTCGTAAACACCGATTCGACAGCCGCGCAAATATCTTTTAATTGTCGGCGTGCGAACGTAACCTCTGGAAACACCCATTCGCGCGCATCGACGATCGGAAACGAATCGAACGGTCTAACGTAACCGACGTTTTTGCGAATATTCCGAGAAAAGCGTCGCGAATCGTCCTTTAAACGTTGGAACGTGCTCGGAGACGTCGATAATTGGCTCGCGATAGTCGACTGTCACGTGAGAGTACGAGCCAGCAAAGTATCGAAAGACCGGATCGACTCGAACGCGTTACGTCGAAAAGTTTGCAAACTCACGATCGTTGTAGATTCCGAATGTGCAGAAATTGTTGCGACAGCAGCCGTTTGCTGCACGCAAAACGAGCCACAGCTTCCACGATCCGCGTCAGATTCCAGGCCCATGGATACGAGAGCTCCTCCGCTTCTGTCACTAGCGATCGAATTCCGACGTTAACTCGCGCACGCTTTGACACCGTGTCAGTTATATTCGGACCGTGGCACGATAAACGAGCAGAAGCAGCAACCGTGTGATCGCATCGATATCGCGTGACCGATATCGAACATCCGAGAGGACAAGAAAGTCACGCTCGTAGACGGATAGTTTGCACCGTTTGCAGGAGCACGCTCTCTCTGCTGATTCTCGGAGGCATGATCGCACGGTAAAACAGACACTGTCCTTAACGGAATAATACGCGAGGCGACGCGCAGTTAACAATCTGGTCGGTGTTCTGGTCGGCGAACAGCTTCCGTAACGACTCGACCACCTCGCGGGAAATTCCGAGGACCGAGGAAGACACGGATCTCCGGTTCTGTCCGGTTCCGAGAATATTTACCGCGAACATCCTCGGAGAAGAACTCTCGCGGAGACCAGCGGAGACGGACACGCGAGCAACAGCGCCTACGCGCGGTAGCGCCGGTAACTTTTCGCTACGAGCACAGCAATCACGGGAACGTACTTTATTACTGAGCCGAGCCGCCATCTTCGCTGCTCCTATTATACGTACTGTTCGCGCCATCTGTTCACGTTTCTTCGCATTTCATCTCGGGCCTCCGTGTTGTTCCACCACCGTACTTTCTCTTCGAAAAACCGACCAAATTCGACCAAATTCGCGCAAATTCGCGCAAATTCGCGCAAATTCCGCGAAACGTTTTAAATAAACCAAGTGACAAGTGTCCGTGAAACTACGATCGTCTCTTCATTTTCGGAAGTTCGTATTCCCTTCGTTCGTTGCCGGATTAATTTAAAATAGGGATATCGAATTTTTCCATTTTTCGATCAGATTCTATCTTATTTTCGGACGATTCGATCCGTGCGTGCTTTCTGTTACATTGTACTCGGCAAAATTACGATATTGTTCGGATAATATTTGTTTGGTCGAAAGGCAGGTAGCGAAAGAGCTTTAAAAATTTGACGGTTCGGTGGATCTCGAACCGCGCGCGACGCTTCCTTTCGTCTCGTTTCGCTCTTTCGCGGAAAAACGGTGCACGGAGAAGAGAATAAAGACCCGTTTCGTCGTTTCGAAATTGTTCGAGTTTAATCCCTTTAGCGAACAGGCTATAGAATTTATTTACCTTTGACTGCGTTACTCGTTCAGTCGTTGAAACGATTCCGCGGGAAAACTTTGAAAATAGAATCGAAGAAACGATCAATGATTACATATTTTTATTCTTACCGATCGAACAGGTTTCCGATTCGAATTTCTTCAAAATTCACGGAACGAGCACGAACTTGTTTTACTCGAAAAATTCACTGTCGACTTTGCGCCGTTGAAAGAATCGAAACAGTCTTGTAGCATTTCGATTCCGATCGATATCGAACACACACATCGTTACGTTTATTAAAGTTGTACGATTTGGCCGAACGTTTTATGCGATCCTTCTGATTCGATAAAAGAACATGCGAAATAAAACGACGAGAAGTCGAGGTCGGAGGATTATTCCGATGCCTCTAAAAGAGCAGGGCGTGCCCTTATACCCTCCCTTTTTTCCACCTCCGTTACCACCCTCGTAATTTCCTGGAAGATCCTGTTTTTCCCGGTAGTATCGAGCTTACTCCTGTTTCTGGAAATATCCTCGTTCCCATTCGACTCTTCTTCGCTTGTCGTCATCTTTTTTCGTTGATATATTACGTACATGCCGCTATCAGGTAGTATGTAGTAACAGTATATTATTTCGCGAGCAACCAGCTTAAAAGAAATGCTACGGATTAAAATCGAGGAGACTTTCTCGAGCTAATCGAAACGCGTCGCCGTTAAGAAAAGAAAAACAAGTATTCTACCGTGTTAAAGACTGGAAAAGAGAAGAAGAATGTCGTGAAAGCATCTCCTGAAAACAGTTTCGCGTTTAGGGCATCTGAAAAGCAAGGAATGCTTTTCGCGATGGATAGTCGCATCGAAAAGTAGCCCATTTTCTCTTTTGGTCGACGAGGCGGCACTTTTACCCTACATTTTCCGCTTTCCTTCCTCTTTTCTGGTCTCACTCCGCCTTCGTAGCTATGCCCTCTAGCCCTTCTCCTGTTCTGCTCGTTTCAAACACGCTCATTTGCTCGTCCCCTGTGTAGCAACCTCGAAACATTTCTATATCAACTTGCTCCGAGGTGGCTAGTCAGCTTCTCTCCTAACCGTTGGACGAATAATCCGAGAATTCATCGACGCGCCTTCGAGCTTAGCGAATTTCGTTAGTCTTCAAGGGCTAAAAATCTAATTCTCATTATTTACGGATACCTACGTATCGTCTTTAGAGTCGTCGTATAAATTGGAAATTTTTATCGAAACGCGTAGCGAACGAGTCTGTAGCTTCGGAAGCTGATATTTGTCGCCATCTTGAAAGTATCCATGGAAATACGAACGCACTCCAACGGAGCACGAAATCAATAAAAGGTGTACCTGAAAGTAGCTAATGCGTTCTGTCGAAATTCGCACGAACGTTTTCAGGAAATTAGATCGATGGATTCGTGAACGGCGATAAGGATTTGGAGAAAAAATTGATTTTAACGGTAAAACGTGGTATGGATATGTATATGTGTATTTCACGTGTACTTCTTATATTCTAACACCGATTGTGAGTTATGTTCGTCGAAATTGTAATCGTATCATGGACCATAGAAAATTATCGTTAATCTTCGTCAACGAAGCACCGATTAAAACATTCTGGTGTTTGTTCGTTCGTCGAAGAAGGGAATTTCCTATGCAAATCTCTTCCTCGAACGGAGGAACGAAAGATAAAGATACGCGAACGCGTAAGTACCAAGATTCGTGAAAACGAGAGGACAGTTTGTTCGACGAGTTTCGAACACAACAGCAACGATTTAAAAATACACGATACAACGATGTTTCAAATTCGTAATCGTACGCGCGATTAAGCATAACGCGATCGTATTACGAATCGCAACGTTTAAATTAGACGATTTCCACGGGTATTCGCAGCGTAATACATATTCACAGCGTACACGTCGACAGATTTTTCTAACACGAAATCACGCTATTTCGTTAATTAGATAAAGCCCATTTTGCACGGACATTATCTACCGATGAATATATTGAAAGAAATCGATCGTATATCTAGTTTCTTATAGTTCTAAGAACAAAGTAAATCGCGTCGGTAGCGTTTCTTCGACGATTATGTAAGAAACGATCTAAGCCGAAAAATACGCTCGGTACATCCTGTAGCGTTAAACGTTATCGTTTAATCGTAGATCTATGCTATTTGAAAGTTGAACGAAAAATAGCCCAGCTATTCGAGAAGGAATAAAATTCGATAAGGTATGATAAAGTACTTTGAGTTTCTTTCGTCGTTCGTCGCAAACGATTCGACTACCATTCTCTAAGTATATCCGACATTTTCAGCGTAATCGTTCGAAAAGGAAAAACATCCTCCGTATATCGTCGAGAACGGTAAGAAGCTTGCGCGATCGTGCGCCTGCGAGCCAAGTTACACGATACGCGATACGTGTACGATATGTGTGTAAAAGAATTGGCACGGATACACGCGTTATACAAAACGTTATTAAAAATTGTTCCCACTTCTTAGCCGTGAACCGAAAGTTTATCTTTTTCCCGCGTTTCTCCCGTTTTCTCGAGCACCGCTCGACGTCTCGCACCGTACGTCGAACCGCGTTCTCTGTCGTCGACGAATCTTGACGTTTCGTCGAGAAAAGGCGGTAATAGTCTCTCGTTGCTGACGGATAAGTAGCATTTTTCCTGGTGCCGCTTACACTCGGAGAGGTAATATCGTGATCGCGATGCGTCGTGAGAAAGTGTGGCAGGAATAATCCACGAGTACGGAAACGATCGACTAGCACCGCGTTTTCTCGTAAACGAAAACAATCAAGGATTCGATTGATCATCGATAGAGCACGTACGAAGGTTCGGCGATAATAATTAGTCTAATGGTTGATCTTGTTCGGTTGGCCGTTGTTCGACAAGTGCTTCCAGAGACCGGTGATTAATGGCACGTCTCGGAAACTATCGGCCGTGGGCTACGCCTGCTACGAGCACATCAGGTCGAACGATCTCGATTCTCCCCAAGCGTTCTGAATTTTGAAGCCTGTCGTCGGCCTCGGTACAACGTGATGCGAAGTCGAAGTCGCGCCGTGCCTAAGAGTCGTCATAGGGATGTTGGTGGCACTGCTCTTCCTCTGCGCTTTCTTGCCGTCTTCCTCCTCGAAGCAGACCTACAAAAATCGTCGCGTCGAATCGGTTCTAACGATTCTAAGAGCTTCGAACAAAGTCTTCGACGATTCGAATATCTTCATACGAACGCGTCTATTATAGCGTGCGTAGTCGACGATTCGACATTTCCGAAGCCACGGTAACGAAAGAATTATATTCGCGTTCGTTGCTCACCCATGAATTTCCAGCCGGTTTCGCTTCGTTCGATAAATCGATTAACAGATTCTTCTGTACATCGTTGCCGGTATACCGTTTAACGTTGTCTCCAGTTTGTTCCTTCTCTTTGCCGCTAGATTTTCCCTCTTCTTCTTTCTTCTTCTTTTTCTTCTTCTCGTTATCTCCTGAAGAACAGAAGAAGGATAAGAATAATCGATTATCGATGAAATAATTATATTAGAACCGCGTGCTTCTCTTAACTTGGTTAGCGTTAAGAGGCGAAAGCGTAGTCGAGAAACAGAGATAGTCGAATTCCATTCGGGTAAATCGCGAAACGGATCCGATCCTGTCGTTGCAACTGTGCGATACCGTTTCCTAGATACGCGTCCGTTATCGACCCACGTGTACTACACCAACGCGTCCGAGAACTCCGTAACGTAGAAACAGAAGCATCGCGTGCGAATAGCGATCTCTAGTTTGCCAATTTCGAGTTGAGTCGAGTCGATACGTTGTCTCGTCCCGCTCACGTTCGTGCACGTAAAATTAAGTTGCCTCATTAATTAGCACCGTACCTCTGATTATCCAGTTATCTATTGACACGATCATTTCGAACGTTTATCGAAAACGCCTTGAAACGTTCGCTCGACGCGACCGCTATCAGAAATTGAAATTTCCGTGACAACCCTCGACGCTTCGTCGATTACCTTTTCACGGATAAATAATTATACCGACGTATCGATCGTATACGTTTAATTATCGATTAATCGAGCGATACGTAAAAAATTGCCGTGGACATTTGAACCGGTTGTACGACGAGAAAAGTGATGGAAACGTTCGTTGCCGATTGATCGATAGAGAAGATTCAAAGGGTTAATGAACGGATCGCGCACTGCACTCTGCTCATTCTGAATTTTTTACGCGCGAATAACGCGCAAAGTCGAGCGAAAAATGCAACGAGATTCGGGATAAAGGAAAACAGCCGCACGCGGGAAGACTTTTTTCAATTATTCCGTCGTCCGAGATTCGAAGCGTCGATCGCTCGCTAATTCCTACCAGTCGACTCGTTCACGATAGATCGCGACGTTCTTACATTTTCATAATAGGTATGCCCCGTAATTATCTGTACGTCACGAGTAATCACGGTTAATTTTCCTTGAAACGAACGTGCCAAACAATGTTTGCGCAAACGAGGAGAACGGACGAGTCGTAGGTAATTGTTCCAATTTGGCGACGTGGTTGCTGCGTGTGCGCGAGTATGCGCACCCTGTACGGTATACGCTGTACGGACTCCAATATTGCCGGACGGTTTTCTCGACTGCACTCCTAACTCGTAACATTCTCCGAAGTACTCCGCAATATCCGCACTCCGCGTGAGTTAAGTGCACGACCCACGTGGATATTGCACCGCGCTGCTGACTAGTATCGCGAATCAAACTAGCACGAAAGATTGATTACCCTTTCGGCCGCTCGCGTAAATTTCACGCCTTCGATTCGCCGCTCGCATCGTCCTTTAGATAGGTAGACTATTTCAATAGAAAATGTGTTAAAAATCGATTGCGAGGATTATGAACCGAGACGCGTTATATCGTAAACCGCGTTCGTAGGCAATCTACGCGTGCCGCGTTGTTTTGGAAATTCGGCATCGTACAGCGTCGTTAGAGGATCGAGAAAAGAAGATTAATTTACTTACCGTTTCGGTCGTCGGTTAACGGAGGACTCTTGTCTTGAGCGTGATGAATCCTAGGATCGGCCTGGGACAGCTGCCAAGCCTCGTAAGCCGTGTTAAAGGCTTGGGCCACCGTCAGCGTCACCGTTTGCGCCATTTTTCTTTTAGGACAGAGAAACGCGTGGCATTCCATCGTTTCGTTCAAATTTGTCGCGATAAACGCGAACACGTGATCGTGGGTCGCGTCGGCCGAACAGTACGAAATTCTGGAAAAAAAATTCGGTCCATCGATCTACGATAAATATCTACAGGATATCGATCTGGTCGAAGCGAATAATAAGTAGCGAAAGTCATGGCGAGCAAATTTTCTTAGGCTACGATACGAAAGGGTTAATAAGACGATTAAATAGTAGCGAGCAGAGAGTAGATTATTTTCGTCCGACGGATGGGCGTGTCCGCGGAATTTCCGTTACTCGAGTAACAAAGGAGCGAGTGGAAAGGAGGTTCCAGTAGAGGTACATGCACGGAAGGACGTCTCGAAGCAGAGCTTGAAAGGCAGATAATTAACAAGCGAGAATTTCGCGATTCAGATTCGAACTTGTCGTAGCAACGAATTCATTGACGTTACGTAAAATAAGATACAGTCGCTTTCGAAGGCAAACTTTTTTCTCTTAAATCAGGGAAGAATATCGTTCTTTGTTCCGCATCCCGACGCGACGATGCGGTATCGAATCGCGCAACGTTTGTTCGTTGATATTATTACCGTTTTAGCCGTAGTATTTAGCAGTAGTATTTTAGCCGAAATATTGGATATTAGATCGACCGATAGAAGGGACAATGTACTTGGAGCCAGGGCCAAGAAATCCGGTTTCGTTCGATTACGATTCCAGCGGTGACAGGCGCGCGTAGAACGTAACGCGTTTCGCGAAACAGGAAACGTCTCCGATACGTTTATGGATATCTGTCCGGTTTCGTGGTTACCTGTATATAGACACCTGAAGCTGATCTTCTTCCGTGGCTAGGTCCGTCATTCTGATACCCTTCAAACTCACTGCCAAAGAAACTCTTTGTAACTTCTTTCCGCTCGCCTTTGCCTGCGACATAAAACGAGAACGAGCATTAGTCGATCGTAAATATCGAGAAATCGAATGTTTCGCGCGCAATAGGTATTCTTCGAAGACGACGCGACGAGACGCGCGAGGAACTCTCGAGACGGGGCTTTTACAGCTAGGCGGAAGTAAATGCACGGTAGAAAACGTTTCCGACGGAGAAGTGTCCTCTTCGTCGCGAAGAGTTTCTCGCCGCGATCGTTCCGCCACGTTGACGACGAAATACGCGTAAAATTGAAAATAGGGTGAAACGTTCGGTACGTCGTCGCGAACCCGTTAGTCGAAAGGCGATTTGAAGCGAACGAAAGGAAGAGGGAGAGGGGGTTAATCCGGTATCTCGGGTAGTAGCGGTGGTCGCGAGGTTTTTTACAAGTAACGTAAACGTAAGCGTAAAGCGTAAGCGAACCAAACGTGCCACTAGACGAATGAACTCGATCGCAGATTGCACGAGCTCCCTCCATGCCCCTTAATCTCGACTCCCTTGCAAGATTAGTTCGTATAGAAGTTCCGCGATTGTTACTCTTATGCCCGTTTAATAACGGCGAACAATTTAATTTGCGCGGAACGCGAACGTTGTAGAAAATATGATTGTTCGACGTTCAGCATGGTATTAACGGCAGAATAACACGAGCGCATAATCAACATCGTTAACAATGTCGTTAACTATCGTGGCGAATGAAATGAATTAATCCGGCTAATGTATTGGTCCCGTTCAATCGCATCGCGAGAAAAGTTTCAATTGCTTTTCACGGAACCGATTGCACGGGAACGCACGAACAGTCGGTTACGAACGAGAAAAAGAAATAAAAAATATCGTTGATCGGGATGGAAAAAAGTTGGCGAAGAGTGTTCTTGTCTTCGTTGGATTCGACGATAAGATTTATTAACCTCGTCTAGTATGATAGTTTGCTTCGTCGAGAAATTAATGAGTTTGCTGCGACAGGGGTTACGCGTTTCGAAGATTTATGCGCAACTTTAGACGTCGTTCTATTTTCTCGGAAACGCCTCGATCACGCTTCGTACCGAAGCAATTTTTCTCGAAGAACGGCTTTCATTTTCCGGTTACGCGCTAAATCGATCGTGCACCGATACAAACCTATAATGTTATACGAAGCGATACCGTGATACCGTGTGTACATACAATAACGCAGGCTTCTTCGATTTAATCGATTTTCGCACTTATTCGAATCGTTCGAAGAACGACGTTTAGAGTGTCGATCGTGCATCGAAAATAATTTGCTTAACCGGAGAATCAATGACTGGAGAGTGAAAGGATTTCGGTGTAACGATCGCGCGCGCGCGCGTTTCTACCTTTACCTACCATCGTAATAACGGTCTTGATGGCTTCCGCCGTGGCCTCTTCGCTCGAGGGCGTCTCGACGAGGGTGCTGCCCAAATATTTGAGAGTGAACCTTGCTTCCGACGCATCCTCGGATTCTTCTTGCGTCCCGCCACTCGAGGAAACTCCGCCTTCCACGCATTCGCGACTGCTCGCTAAAGCCCATTCCTCGCACAGTTCTGGAAGATAACATAGTACGCTATATCGATACTCGTCCCGCTACCTTCGTTCGAGAAAAATCCTGAAAGTTATTTCGAAAACGTAACGATTACATGGCATCGTTTACGAAGAAATCGGGAATTTCTAGCGAAGGATAAGGTGTCCTCTGTTCGAGATAACAATGCGCGAACGCGTAACAGCTGAACAGAGATTAAATACCACGGTAGACGGAATGGAAGATGAGCAGGGTGAAACGTTAGTGCTGGTTCGTGAAACCGCGTAAACCATTCTCGTTCTCGACGTCGTGTCAGGAGTAGCACGTGTGCCAATAATGGATGTCCATACGTATCGTGTGCTCTCGGTATTCTCTCCTTTGATGCGTCTCCCATCGGTGGGCGCACCTTCTATCGATCGGACGTGCGTCGCGTCGCGTCGGCCAATTCTGTTCGGGGGAAATCGAATAGACCTCTTTGGTTTTTAATACGGGCTGCGGTGGAGTTGCTGGCACCGACGAGAAACCGCTCCAAGAAACGAAATCAACCTCGCGCATCGTCATATTTTTTTCTATATAAAATTCGATAAAATTCGACAGTCGATAATTGCCGCGTTCGCGGTGCGAGAATCGTTTACGTCAGATTGAGCCGTATCAAAAGTTCTGTAACGGCTTTACGCGCGAGGAGCGAGAACGCGTAAGTGGGTATTATCGTACCGTCGCACGACCTAACGAACGACAAAAGCAACTTTTATTCCTCGGGGAAACCGTACAAGTTCCGACAAAGTTCGACAAAGTTTTCGCAACTTTCGACGCGGCTCTAGCCGAAAGAAAATCGGTTTTGATACTTTTCAACGTCGCCGATGCAGTCTTTTCGCGAAGCCACCGTTCCCGACGAATCTTCCTAAACGATGGAAATTTGATAAAAAGAACGCCGCGGGACATTCGAACGGAAAAAGGGGAAACAATAAAGGAAGGTGAAAAATAACGAGTCGAGATTTTCCGTTAACCCGACTATCGAGTGGCGAACCGCAAATTAAATCTTCCTCGAGGCCTTTTACCACGAGACCTACGTAACCCTTCGATAACGGATTTAGTTCTCTTTTATTTCAGACCCGATTCGCTCTATGAACGAGTTCCCGTCGTTCTCTTCTCTCTTCTCCGCGTTGTTCTGTCGCGACGCTTCGCGCCGCTCGAATACGAACAGCTCGAAATTTTTTAACGAAACTTCGCCCGCAACGATATGTAACCTTTCGCCTCGAAACTCGAAATATCTGATCGCGCGTACGCGACGCGTCCGAATTTTATTTAGAGTTCGATCGAATTTCGAGTTTACCTCTAATCGTTAAGTTCACGGTAACGCGTAATTTCATTTTTTCGTTCGCGATCGTCGAGAAAATTAGAGGACCAACGATCAAAGTTCAGAGTAGAGAATCATCGTTGCTTTTTAACAACGCTGCACCGCTGTTTCGCGGTAACCAGGTAGTTTCCCTACATTACGCGAACAAAGCTAATCACGCGAGTCGATTTATTAACCGAAATTTCTCGAACTGCACTTGCCGTTTAATTCGAGTCGAACGTCTTGAAAAATTCGACGGAAAAATAAACCACGCGCGAACGTTAGATCGTTAGGTGTTTTTTGGCGAAAAAATGCATTGCTATTAAAAAAATGATTAATCGTTTCTGTACGAAGCCCCGTTACTCGCGTGGCAACCTATAATCGATCGATGAACGCTCTTGATAATAGGAAAGCAGAAAAAAATAAACGAAAGGAAAAGTACCGGCATCGAGTTGCATAACTTTTCGTTTCCTCTATTTCCGAGTTACAAAATAAAAACTTTGCTATGCCTGATCCTCCTTTTCTTTCTTTCTCTTCTTTAAAAACGTTCGGATTTAATGTTCGATTCGAGAACGAAAGGAAAAAAATTGTCTTTCTTAATTAAGACTGTTGCCGTTAACCGTTCGCGAACGCGAACCCGTGTACGTCGTAAAAAATGATTACGCGGGAAAGAATAACGATTTGTCGCGTTGATTTTCCGCGGTGAATTGGAACGTGTGAGAGGTACGTTTTTCTCGATTATGCGAACGGGACAAAAGAAAACGAGAAACAGAAGACGAATCACCGAGTACGACGTACTCGCGCCGACAACATTTTAAAAGTCGCGTTACAGAGCCGACTAATTAAGCTCCGGACCCTGCAAACGATCTCGTTGCTACGCGAATAATTAAAAGATACGTATCAACGAGTTGGAAATAACTCGATGGACGCTTTCTCCGAAGAAACGCGTACACTTTCGGCGACAAATTACAAATAAAATTCTTTGTTTTTATCGTTTCAGAGGCGCTATTCGCTGGAGAACGTTATCTCTTGACTCGTATCTTCTTTTCTCTTGAAAAATTTACACGTCGAAGCGCGTGTTCTCGACGTAAAATTCGACTAGACAAAAGACATTACTCTATTTGTCTGGGAAAAGAAAATTTCTCTGCGTCGTAATCGGACGAAGCGAAGTCAGCGAGGATCAGGACGATTGGAAATTAGTTCCAGCAGATTTAAAAAGAATATGTAAGCAGACGAAGCGACGGGCAGCCTTTGCCACTTTAGTTAAATAGTCGGCGAGCCGAGTTGCCGAACAGGAAATAAGTATATGTAAATAAAATTCAGGATAGCGGAAACAAGGGACGAAGGAAGAACGAAATCTGTCGTTTTTCCTCTTTTCGACGCGATTTTCTGAACCTTTGTGAAGCTCCTCTTTTCCACCGGAGCTTTTCCATCCACCCGTACGACGCGTTACCACCACAGACCGCGGAGAGATTTAATCGAGTTTCATTGTGCCGCCACTGCGTTTTCAGATCCATTTTACCCCGCGAATAATTAGATTTCGAACATAGGCGGTTTTGTGGCCGAACGGGCCAAAGGATGCACCACCGTATGTTTTAGTTTTAATTATCGAACTGCACCGATCCAATAACTGCTAATGCTTCCAGTCAATTTTCCGTCCCTTCCATCGAGACCGAGAACCGATAACGCGATCGGCCATGAACTTTTCACATCCGACGAGAACCATAGGGAGAAAAATCTGTATGTAGATCGTGGATTTTCCGTCCGTCGAAAGAGAAAAATCTGTTCTTTCAGCTGCTCTCCTTAGAACGTCGGGAAGAAGAAATCGCTTCGTACCGACTGGCATTGTAGCTATCCTTTTCGTTTCACGTAGTCGTCTCTTCGAAGATTCTTCTCCTTGTCCGATGGGCAAGAATAATTGACACTTTCTTCGTACACGAAGGAGCAACGAAATTTCTGAAACGCGACGGAAACACGTTCCTCTCGAGCTGCAGTACGTTGCGATTAAAACGTTTTCAACGTTTCGCCTTAGACCAACGAAGCATTCTTCGGATAGGAATCGGTTGGAAAGATGTCTCGTTTACTCGGTGGAAAACTTTGAAACGTATGTAAATCGCGAATGAATCGAACGCGTCGTTTTCGACGACCTATTCTCGAGGTATCATAGTCAAAGGTAATAACGTAGCGGCGAAAAACGATCTATTCGAATTCCGAACGCGGTGGCTGCGACTATTTATGGTCCCTTGTCGCGTTTACGAATATTCGCACAGAAAGCGTCGTGTGCGGAACGACTTTATCTTTGTTTTTTGTACGAAAGACATCTTATTTTGCCTTCCTTCGTCTCTTATTTAAATCTGTGATCGCTACATGATTTTCCTCTTTTTTTAACGAAAAAGATGTCGAAGCGACCGACATAATAATTATTATCAGCAGGTAAAATCGACAGTTTAAAACGATCGACAAGAAATTGAGAAACGGATGTAACGCGACAATAAATATGGATAACGAAACGGATGGTGAACGAACGGACGAACTTTAGCTCCTGTTATACTTGATTTTCTTGTCCGTGAAATAGAATTACGTTCGTTACAATGACTCGTACGAATCGAGATACGTTGCTCCAGTCAGGTAAGGTAGAAAAGGATCGTGGTTCCTTCAACGAATAAAATCAAGTTGGAGTGGTTGTCCATATCTCATAGTTCGGTACTCGACCGTGCCCGGAAGGTAGGTTTTGTTGCGGTATATAAGGATTTGTCAGACAAGTTCCACGAAATATGATGGAAGGAACTTTCTATCCGAGTCTCGTCATTTTATTTCCGTTGAAAGGACAAAAATTCTCGTAGCACTTTTTCGTTCAACTTTTGTACGTTTCGCTCCGGAAAAGATATTCTCGGCAACGAGTTGTCGTGTCGCATTCGTAAATCGTTGTCCAGGCACAACAGATATCGAGAAAACTTTGCGTCTCTAATTTGCGACGTCGTGTCGCGACAGAAATTGAACCTGTCACGAATAAATTTTGAATTTTATTGCGCGTACAAGATAATCGGTATTTATTATAATTAGCTTTGGAATGAAAATTTCATTTGGTTTGTCTCAACCTACACCATAAATTTCCTTCCAAGCACTATACGCTTTCGATTCGCCCGAAGAAATGTTCAAGCTAGACGAGAGAATAGTAGATTTCGGTGGAAGCGAACAGTAGTCGAACGAGACGTTACCGAAACCGCAACGCGATATGTAAAGCGTCATTTAAGTGGAAGCAGTTAGCTCGTAAAAACGTTTATACCGGTCGTTATTCTTCCGGAGTGGGATCCAACTTTCCCTGTTCGCGGTTGCACGTACGAACGTACCTTACCGAAACCGAGACGGTAAATTCGGAAAATTTACAGGAGCTCGCCTCTACGAACGGTGGTGTTCTCGCGTTAGGCACGATAAATATAAACCAGCCACGAGTTTCTCTTTCTCGGCTACGATTACCATTACCATTCTTTTACATGTACCTACGGTTAGGTGACCAATGATCTAACCGTTACATCGCAGCTAGTATATTTTATAGGTAAAAGAGTTCGACCGATAAATGTTTGCTCGCAATCGCAACTTCTGTTGCTTCGCGGTTATGTATCAACCTCGGAACTATCGTTCCGCCAGCATTAAGCTACGAATTCAATTAGTCCGGTTGAAACGATTAA